TGGGAGTGCCTGTGCCCTGGAAAAAGGGCGGTGCATGGACAGGTGCTGTGCCTGGGAACGGGTGGGCCATGGGGATGGTTTGTGCCCGGGGAGTGTACCTGTGCTCTGGTTTGCTGTACGTTCAGTGGGGAGCTGTGTCTGGGGGTGGGTCTGCGCCTTGGGGGGGGCTGGGCCTTGGGTGAGGAATGTGCATTGGGGCAGTAGCTGTGCCCTGGGGGAGGTGCTATGCCTGGTGAGGCTTGCCCTGTGTGGGGTTGGGTGTGGTCTATGCCTTTGTTGCGCTGTCCCGTGGGTGGTGGAGGGCTTGTGCCTGGGAAGCGCAGTGCCCTGCGGTAAGAGAGTGTGCCATGGGGAAAGTATTAGACCCTGTGGGGTTGTGCCCTTGTGAGGTGCTCTACCTGGGCGGGGCTGCAACTCAGGAGGAGCTGTGCCCTGAGGGATGGGGCTGCCCTTGGGCGGAGGGTCCGTGCCGGGGTGGGAGGTTGTTGTGGGGGCTCTGCCTGGGACGATCTGTGCCTGGGTGAAGCTGGGTCTGGGTGGAGGGTCCCTTCGGGGGGTCTGAGCCCTGGGTGTTTTATATCTGTGGTGGCTGTGCCTGTACTTTGTGGCCTGTGCCCCATGGGGGGCTGCTGTACAGTGTTGGGGGAGGTAGTCTGTGAGCTGTGGGGAATGTTTGTGGCTGGGGGGAGGGGTCTGTGGCTGGAGTTGTCTGTGTTTGAGTTCGGTTGTACCCTGGGGAGGAGGGGGCTGGACACTGGGGGATTGGGCTTTGGCCTGTGTTAAGCTCTGCCTTGTTGGGGGGGTGGGGGTCAGGAATGCGTGTGCATGTCTTTGCCCTGAGGGTTTGTACCTTGGAGTGTGCGGAGGCTGTGTCTGGGGTGACCTGTGCCTTTGTAGGGCTGTGCCTTGGAGAGTTTGATATGTGATAGGGGCGGGTGAGGGGGCGCTCGGAGGTGTGTTTGTTTGCACTGGGGTTGGTGGCTGTGCCTTGTGTGTGGGGGCTGTGCTCTGTGGGGAGTGGGTGCTGTGGATGGATAGTCTGTACCCTGGGCGGTGGGAGGCTTTCTGTGCCGGGGGTCCTGTTTTGTGTGATGCTGAATTCTTATATCCCCAACTCCCCCCACCCCCCCCCCCCCACCCGCTTATGAGGCTGCGGCCAGTATCGTGTTCCCGTGATAGTGTCTAACTCTATAGTATAATAACACTATCCTTTGTTTGCAAACCTAGCTGTAACGGATAAAGCTTGTTGTGTAATAAACTTCTGTGAAGCGCTTTGGGACGTCATGTAGATGTGAAAAGCGCTTTATCAAATGCAAGGATTATTATTATTAAACTGTTACTGTTATTACCATTGATGTTGTATTGCTTACCCCCCAGACACCCTCCCACTGTGACAGACGCTCTGTACATGTACATTGTATGGTAATATCCTGTGTGACTGGAAGTCAAACGGGTAACAGATCCTAACACTGTGTGTGATGTTTTACAGGGAGTGTGAGTGTGCGGCTGGTGAATGGCGGCAGCCCGTGTGCCGGGACAGTGGAGGTTTACTATGGAGGACAGTGGTGCACAGTGTATAGCTATGGCTCTAAGGGCTATGGTTGGGATATGAAGGACGCGGCTGTGGTGTGCAAAGAGTTGGGCTGTGGAGCAGCGCTGTCGGCACCGGTGGCTCAGTTTTGGGAAGGCTCAAGTCCCGTTGTGGTGTTTGATATTCGGTGCAGAGGGAGAGAGTCTGCTGTGAGGGAATATCCAGGGACCTGGGGTAACTATTCCAGGCTTCCGCGCTCCTTTGATGCCGGCGTCATCTGCTCAGGTAAATAATTCATTCTCTGATCATTTTTCGCTCTCATGTTTTGGGTAAAACACAGTTTGAGAAACTCTGATCAAGTTTCTATCCCACGACCTGTCAGTTTATTATCATTAAATCTGGATGGGGGTCTCACCGATTCCCTGGGGTCAGTATTACAGGTCTCGCACCTACGGTATCATCTGCTCTGCAAAATAATTGTGGCTCTGATTAACACGTCCTTCTCGGTGTGGATGGGGGGAGGGGCACAGCGGAGCGGGGAGAACACGGGGAGAGGTGAGCACTGGGGGAGCACAGTTAGGTGAGCACGAAGTGGTGGGGAGCACAGGGTGGGGATGAGCACAGGGTGCGGGTGAGCACAGGGTGGGGGAGAGCACAGGGTGTGTGTGAGCCCAGGGTGAGGGTGAGCACAGTGTGGGAGAGAGCACAGGGTGGGGGTGAGCGCAGGGTCGGGGTTAGCACAGGGTGGAGGTGAGCACAGGGTGGCGGTGAGCACAGTGTTGGGGTGAGCACAGGGTGGGATCGAGAACAGGGTGGGGTCGAGCACAGGGTGGAGGTGAGTACAGGGCGGGGTTGAGCACAGGGTGGAGGTGAGCATAGGGTGGGGGTGAGCACAGGGTGGGGGTGAGCACATGGTGGGGGTGAGCACAGGGTGGGGTTGAGCAGAGGGTCGAGGTGAGCACAGGGTGGGAGTGAGCACAGGGTGGGGCTAAGCACAGGGTGGGGCTGAGCACAGGGTGGGTGTGAGCACAGGGTGGGGGTGAGCACAGGGTGGGGGTGAGCACAGGGTGAGGGTGAGCACAGGGTGGGTGTGAGCACAGAGGGGTTTGCACAGGGATCGATGAATGTAGGTGGGGTCAACGCAGTTGGGTAGCACTGATGGATAAGCAGTGGGAGGGGTTCAGCACAGTGGCAGGAGTTGAGCGCAGTGGGAGGTGCTTAGCACAGTGGGAGAGGCTTAGCACAGTAGGTGGGGGTTTGAGCGTAGTGGGAGGGGTTGAGCGCAGTCGGAGGGGTTGAGTGCAGTGGGAGCGGTTGAGCACAGTGGAGGGTTGAGTGCAGTGGGAGGGGCTGAGCGCAGTGGGAGGGGTTGAGTGCAGTGGGAGGCGCTGAGCGCAGTGGGAGGGGCTTAGCACAGTGGGGGGGGGGCTTGGCACAGTGGGTGGGGCTTAGCACATTGGGAGGGGTTGAGCACAGTGGGAGGGGTTGAGCACTGTGGGTGGGGCTTAGCACAGTGGGCGGGGCTACATAAAGTAGGAGGGGCTCAGCACGGGGGCGGTCCTGAGCACAGCGGGAGGAGCTGAGCTTACACCGATCCCGAGCTCACAGCGACCCCGAGCTCACACCGAGCCCGAGCTCACACCGACCCCGAGCTCACAACGATCCCGAGCTCACATTGACCCCGAGCTCACACCGACCCCGAGCTCACAACGATCCCCAGCTCACACCGATCCCGAGCTCACACTGACCCCGAGCTCACACCGAGCCTGAGCTCACACCGACCCCAAGTTCACACCGACTCCGAGCTCACACCGACCCCGAGCTCACACTGACACCCCAGCTAACACTGATCCCCTCCCCCAGCAGACACTGACCACCCCCCGCCCCCACCCCAGCCCACAGGCAGATGTTTAATTCCAGCAGAAACCTTTTTGATCAAAGCTAGTGTTTCTGAGACTAAATTGACTGTGTTTTCATTGCAGATGCGCTCCAGAAACCCACCATTTCCCTGGAGCCAAATTCCCGAGTGTTTGTGAGAGGGGAAGTGGCTCAGATCTCGTGTTCAGGGAATTATCGCGGCAGCAACTTCTCTTTATACAGAGACGGCGAGTCTATCACATCAAAACCAGCTCCAGGGCATAGCAACGCGGCCACGTTCCCCCCATTGGAGATCAGGGCAGGAAATCACTGGTGTAAATATACTAAACTCGTGGGCGGCCGAGAGCTCACATCACCAGAGAGCGAGCGACTGGGCATCAAAGTGCGGGGTAAGTGCGAGGGTCTGGACTCTCTCACCAATGGTCACTCGCTGTCCACTTGGGTCCAATAAAAGCGATCACAGCAAACTCCACTCTCCCCTCCTCCCCTTTCCTCCTTCCTCTTAATCAATTAAGTAATTCCTGTTGTTCCACCCGCTCTGTGAAACGAGTCTCTCCCCGTTCCTCCTTCCCTCTACACCCTCGATTCATCCCTTCCTCCCTTGTCCCTTAACCCTCTTTTCTTCCCCACACAACCTTTATTCCTCCCCCCCTCCCACACTACCTCCCACACTCTTCCTACCAATACTCTATTCCACCCCACCCTCAATTCATCCTTCCCTCCCTTCTCCCCTCACCCTCTTCTTCCCCCCCACATCCTTTATTCCTCACTCCGTCCAACACTCTTCCTCCCAACCCTCTATTCCCTCTCACACCTATATTCCTCACTTCATCCGCCAACCTCTATTCCCCTCTGGCGCAATCCCTCCCTTCCTCCCTTAATCTATTCCACTGTCACCCACTCCCTCTCTTCCTCCCACACTCTCTATTCCCCTCTCCCTCACTCTCTCCACTATCACTCCCACACCCTCTGTTCCTCCATCCTTCCCACGTGCTCTCTTACACATCCTCACTCCCTCAAACAGCCTCACTGCCCTCCCACACCCACTATTCCCCTCTTCCTCTGGTGAAGGTCTGACATCTTCTTGAATATATTGAATGTATCTTTACTGTCTGATTCCATCACAGCTTCGAGCAGTGAGTCCCACCACCTTATTCCCCTCTGTGTGAAGTCGTTGCTACTGAATTCTCTAATTGATCCCCTGATGTGATCTTATACTGTTGTTTATAAAACGTCTGAAGATCACACCAGAATTTCAGACTGAATTCCCGTCCCCCCGTCCCAGGCTGGAGCTGTGTGTTACCCCAGTCCGCGGCCTCACCGCCATCCTTGTCCACCCCATTCCCAGCCGTCGCTCCCTCTCTCTCTGTGTAAAGAAGCACTTGATGTGTTCTGTCCCGAAACTTCCCCTCATCTCCTCACCCTTGTCCTGACACCTCTCCAAGCTGGGAAACAAGCAAATGTTTATTTTACTCTGATCTGAACTGTCTTCATATCACAGAGCGAGATTTGTGAGATTATATTGACTGTGTCTTAATTCCAGATCCGCTCCAGAAACCCAACATTACTCTGAAGCCAAATTCCCGGGAGTTTGTGAGAGGGAAAAGCGCTGAGATCTCATGTTCTGGCAATTATGTTAGCAGCGATTTCTCTTTATACAGAGACGGCGAGTTTATCATATCACAAACAGCTCCAGAGAATAACAAGACAGCAATATTCACCATATCCGAGATCAGTGCAGGAAACTACACCTGTAACTATACTACTGTTATAGACGGCCGAGAGTTCACATCACCGGAGAGCGAGCGATTGGGAATCTCTGTGTCGGGTAAGAGCTCAGTAAAATCTCACACCATAACCTGTTTGTGTTTTGACCATTTACAGCAGCTCCTGTTATAACCACTCTTTGCACCATCGATCATATTTCCATGTTATCTCCGAGTGATGGCTGGAGTGTTTGACCCCGGGAGAAACCGATCTCTGCGATAAAAAAAATTCCAAACCCGAATTCCCAAGTGATAAAACACTCGCTGGTAAAGGGCCGATTGTTTTAACATGGCCGTAGGTACGTCTGGTGCAAACTTAGATAC